AAGATGCAATTCTAAGCTTTTTAGAGAATAATTTACCTAATCTATTAATAGAAGAAAGTTTCATTGTTTATTAAGCATGGTTAACTATAAATTACAGGAGATTTTAACCATAAAACTTTACCCTATCGTATATAACCTATACCCTATTGTGGTAAAAATTCTATATCAAAACAGTAAATGGCTTCCAATAAGCTGTAGAACCACGCATCTTGTGTGGCTGCTTTGGTTGTATCTGTTCTTAGGAACTGGGGCTTAGACAGGGTTATATTCTGCTTCAACTCTTCTAGAGGAAAGGAGTTTGCAACCTAATAAATTTATGTTTTACAGGTTTCCTCCCCCAAAGGAAATCAATGTGTGTTTTATTACCACATCCTTACAACATTCTGGTGATATAAGAGACAAAACTTGCTTTCCACAATGTAAAAGTGAGGAAACTCATGTACATTAAGTGGTTTAACAGAAGCCACTCAGGAGGTCTGCTTGAGTTTGGGACTCAAGCAGGAAATGGGACTCTCTTAGCCCCATTTCCTTTGCACTCACTCAGACTGCATTTTTCACACATATAGACCCGTAATCTGCTTTGCTTCCCTGGAGTTTCTGGTTATTTAAATTCTACAAGTCAATGTGCAATAAAGATAATGCTGTTTAAGAGAATGAGTTTTCTGCACCTGCTTTATAGTGCAGTGTTTTGGAGGTAATCGGTGTTCTTGTAAAACTCTATGTTTAAGTATATCTTGCTCCATTTGACTTTTCCTCCTGTGTGTGTCTGCTTGGTCATCAAAATCATCATCTGCTTGCTCCTGCCTGTGACAGCAGAAGGGCACCATCCTAAGTGGGTTGAGCAAGATAATTCTAGACTTACAACACATGCAGTCATTTTATGGGGGTCCTTGGTCTAATTACTGAAAGTGCCTTTTAATATTTCTCTCTCATTTTTAAAGATTTGATTATAAAGAGTAATTGAGGGATTACTACTTCAAAGCCATGTAACTATTATAAGTGCGACACTGTGATTAAATTTGGTCTATTACGCTCCAGACCTTAAAATACAAGCATACCTCGAATGCAGTTTTGTGTATTCAGTTCCAGACCACCACATTCAAGTGCATATCACAACTATGTGAGTCATGTGAACTTTTTGGCTTCCCAGTGCACATACAATTTATGTTTGCACTGTACTGCGGTCTACTAAGTGTACAATAGCATTATGTCTAAAAAATGTAATGACCTTCATTTGAAAATGCTTTATTTCTTAAAAATGCTAGCCATCATCTGGGCCTTCAGTGAGTCATAATCTTTTTGTTTGTGTAGGGTTTTTTTGCCTTTATAACATCAGAGATCACTGATCATAGATCACCATAGCAAATATAATAATAATAATGATGATAATAACAACAACAATAATAATAATAATGAAGTGTGAAATATTGTGAGAATTACCAAAATGTGACACAGAGGAAGGAAGTGAACAAATGCTATGGAAAAAATGATGCCCATAAACTTGTTTGATGCCAGGTTGCCACAAATCTGAAATCTATGAAAAACATAGTACCCACAAAATGCAATAAAGCAAAGCATAGTAATAAGGAGATACGCCTGTAACCTTGAACTTTTCCCCTTGCTGTTATTTGGCATGGATCTTGGTACTGACCAAGTACTGTGTGATGACACATGAAGTCAGACAAAAGGTCTCTGTGCCAAAATTCAGCCAACATTTACAGGCCACCAACTCATGTAAGCTGGCATTTCTTATGGTTCTCTTGGTGATCATTTAATCTTGGAACCTGGGACAGGAATCCAGCAAATGTGGTAATATATGCATGAGCGGAATATGTTTCGTTGTTGTTTTCCTTTGGAAAAATAGAAGAGGGAGTGATGTGGAGGTGTTCAGAGTTCAGAGAAGGGACCCCAAACTTATAATGCACCTGAGTAACTCTGTATTAGTTAGAATGGCCTAATTAAATAGTTCGATTTCAAATCTTAGTAAACTTTTTCCCTAAGAAAAGTACTCCAAACAGATTACTTAGGTAATTAGATAGTTAGACCTGCTTGGTCCCTGAACTGTATCTTAAATGAACAAAGAGAAATGATAGTTTTTTGCACCCTGGCTCCTTTTCTCCCCTCCTACTCTGTCTACCCCGAGGGAGAAGATCCATCACAAATCAACTTATTGTAATTAACAGGAGCTGGGCATCTGAGTACGTGCAGGGAAAGCACCATGTGAGTCAAAAGGTTCCCGATGTAATAGTGCCGTGAGGCCTTCCTTATGTGGCCATGGATTATTTTCTGTAAACACAAGATAAATTATTAATGTGGAAGCCCATTGGGGACTGGTTTTTGCCTGAGGCTCATAAACACAATATTTATCACTATCCTGTCTATCCTGAGGAATAACATCCAGATAGTGAAATTCAGTCTCCAGTGACCACGACTGTGAGTACTTCCTACCATTTGTCTTTTTTGTTTTATCCACGCATCTAAAATGAGGCTCTTTCCTTTATTAGTGCTTGATATCATGTCCCTAATTTAGTTGAAACTTGGTCTTCTATAATTCTTAAATTAGTCCAAATCTTAACCCGAATTATTCTGGAAAGCAGAGCCTAGAAAAAGGATTTGTGTGCAGTCACCTTTTGGGAGGCAGATTCCATAGCAGCAGCGAGGAAAGTCAAAGGGGGAGGCAGGAGAAGTCAAACAAAGGTAGGTTACTGAAATGGTCATTGCTGCAGGTCACAGAGCTCCATCGTTTCGAGGAGAATAAAGGGTTTCTCAGGACTGTCCACCTGAGGGTGCACAAGAGGAAGCATTTGCCCTTAGCTCTCATCCTCCACTGACTGAGGGTCGCCCAGTGTTATTACTTCTCAGCCGCCCTTGTGTGTCTGCCAAATGGGATCCTGCAGAAATAGCAGGGCACAGAATTGCAAGAGCCCTGTGCAGCCACTTTGGGCAAGACACTGTCAGCACTAGGTGAGGGGAGGTGAGCTCTTAACTGAGTGCCACAGCCCAGGCTAGAATCAAAGGTGAGGCCTGAGGAAAGTGAGACTGGGCATCTGGGCTAGGCAAACTGGAACATTGTTGTGACAGACCAAACTGGATTGGAATCCAGTCTCCATCACTTGCTCTGTGGGTCATTTTGGACCAGTTGTTGATCATGGAAAGAGTATATATTTCATAGCAAGGATCTGATACTTAGTACTATTACATAAAAGTGGTGCAAATTGCCTTGAAGACTCTGTTGGGTCACAACCTTGCCTAGGAGTTTCCTGGGTGTAACTGGAAGTCAGCCAAAGGGCAGATCACTTCAGTTTGGTAGATGGCAGTAAGATAAGTACAGGTTGTATGACAATTTCCGCAACCACCTCCAAATATTAAAGTTTATACAGAGGCCTTAAGTAGAGTTTAGTTGTGTACCTAGTGCAGATGGTCTCGTCACCATATTTCTATCTCGAGGCTGTGTCTTTGGCAGCTTCTAGCTCAGGTCAGGCAGGGGAGCATACATTCCAAGCACAGGGATATTTTTCTACCTCTTCTAAGGGTTTAATCTCATTCTTCAATGCTTAGCAAATACTGCTAAGACTGCTAAGTTGATCTGCAATTTGCAAATTATAATTTCCTTACAAAGACAATTTATGGACTGAGGCTTAATTGCAGTGTACTAATATCTGTTCACTTGCTGAACTTGGTGAGTAGCTCATTCCCTGTCTTTGATTTTATTGTTGAAAATTTGACAAGGCCTTATCAAGTCATTTTTCATCTCAAGGTTTACTATGAAAGAGCCAATATAATTATCTCCACTGACTTCTAGCTCTTAATTAACTTAATGATTCCTATAGTCTTCCTTAAATAAAGTTCTTAGGAAACTGTTTATTTGTTAAAAGATTCAGATGAACTATGTACATTTGGCTGTTAGCTTTTTAAAATATGCAAGTAAGTAAAAAAAATATACATGATAGCTATAACTCAAAGAGAGTTATATAGCGTTTGTTATTTAAAATTCATGATTTAAAAGAAATATTGTTAGAGACTGATTATTCTCTGCATTTGTTTAATGAAAAGTAGACTGCAGTTTTATGCCACAGCATAAAAAGCAGCATCAAATTCTTTTAAACATTTGTGTAATATTTATGATAGGCCCAGCCCTATACTAAGCCTCTTTTATATATATATTACCCTCTTAATCCTCATAATAGCCCTTTGAGATAGAAACAATTATTATTCCTATTTTATAGATGAAGAAACTGAGGCACAAAGAGGTTAAGACTTTCTCAAGGTCACTCTTATCTTTAAACTAAATTTGAGGAAACCCACTTAAATGTTGTAGAGAACTAATAAATGATAGAGTTAAAATACAAATTCAGGTATATTAATGTCTAAATTCATGTTTTTAGTTACTATAATATATTACTTCTCATTTGAGGATTCTAATTAAAAGAATGGATTAATGATTATTGAGAACCAACCCTAATACTATCCCTTGACTGACTGAAAAATGTTAAAATGAAAAAGGAACCAAAATTGATATTAGTGCACTTAAAAAGAAGACAGTGAAGCTAACCCTTTCATATTTTGTGAATGTAATATTAATTAGTCAAAATCTTTAGGATGATGTGAGGGTATTTCTGTATAGTAAGGTGCTTGTTTCTAGGAGAACATTTTGACCTACTAGAACCATAGCATTTGATTTAAATAGGCACACACATCCAAAACCACCTTTCTAGTATATGCTATTAAATATGTACACTTAATATTTAATTTTTTCTTTAGGTGATAGTCAAATGTGTGGTAACCTGCATGCATTTATCTCTTCTCTCACTAAACGTCACTTATTGTTTGCCCTTTGACATTTCAGGAACAATGCCCTCTGACAGTGCTGCTGAATCAGTGACCGCTTTGGCTGCAAATTCCATTGTTTTCAGCGAGGTGCAACACACAGCTCCCTGAAACCTGGAAACATGTGGTTACTTTTGCCTGAATAACACCAACTTTCAAAATGAACACTTGAAATGGATCGGATAATAACAGATTCTAGGGAATGGAAGTTAAAGAAAAGGTGAGTTCATGCAAAAAACAAAACAAAACAAAACACAATAAAAAACCCTTACAATGAATAATAGTCTCTGCAGAAGCAAAATTTCTGTTGGAAAGATAATGAGCTGTAGACCCCAAATGGCAGAATAGTCACTGTATTTCATATCCAGGAAAACTTTTCCCTATGCACATTTAAAAACAATCTTTATGAAATTCCAATTTAATCTCATTTAAAAGGTCCTTATTCACCCAAATTTGTTGGCTTCTCCCCTAGATATACTAGATGTTCCTATTTTTGTCTAAACTCTTCAATTACCTTATGAATCTTTCACTGTTATTTAAATACATTATTCACTATCAAGAACTTCATTGCCTTCCCTTTATTCTTTAAATAAATCACTAATTTTGACTCCTCATGACATATATTTTGAGATAAATTGCAAGTAAGTAGTCTCAAAAGAATAATGTTCTTTTACCATAAAATTAGAGCTTTTTCTATCATCGTAATATTATTAGATCTTAATGTCAGGACTTTAGAATCATGCTTCTGAAACCTTAAGTTGTTAGAACTTCTCCATATTTAAAGCTTCTTCAATCTGTTCACTTCCCATAGATATGCAGAAATGAGAAAAACCCACGGAGCATGGTCTTCCAATACTTAGGGCCTTTTCCCACTAAGTTATCCAATGAACTCCTCAATAGTTTGGTTAATTCATTCCACTGTAAAGACACACTGGAACTGACCGCATTGTTACCCATGTATTCCTATGTCAGTGAGCTCGCACTTTTTTCCCCATTGCACCACGGGTTTTCCCAGAGGACCTTAGCAATAGGAGATAATCCTAAGAATCCTGTTAAGGGTAGAATTTCATTTTTCCCAAATTCATGTATTGAAGTCCTAGTGCCCAGTACCTCAGAATTTGACCTTATTTGGAATTAGAGTTCTGCACATGTAATCAGTTAAGATGAGCTCCTACTGCAGTAGGTTGGGACCCCAATTCAATGTGACCAGAGCCTTTACAAACATGGGGAATTTGGACACAGACATGCACAAAGGGAACACCATCTGAGAATGAAGACAGAGATCGGGCTGAGGCTTCAATAAGCCAAAGAAGGCCAAAGATGGACAGCAAGCCACCAAAAGTTAGGGGAGAGCCATTAAGACAGATTCTCTCTCATGACCTTCAGAAGGAACCAACTCTCCTGACCTTAATCTTGAACTTCTAGCCTCCAAACCTGTGAGACAATAAATTTCTATTGCTTTAGCCACTCTTTTGATGCTTTTTAAAATAAAATAGTCACTCTAGAAAACTAATACAGACTCACATAGACTTTTGGAAGACCTGATCCTAATGTGCAGTGACACGATGGGAATCTTAAGGTCATCTCCAGCCTGAGCTCACGTCGTCCCCACAATTTAGGTGCTGTAACTAGGTGAATCCTCAAACCCAGCAATCACTGTACCTAAAACTCAATGGCAAAAGAATATCACTAATCTCAAATGGCATTTAAGAATATCTTTACTTATTTTTAGAGAGAGTAAGGGAGTGAGAAAGAAAGAGAGAGAAACATTGATGTGAGGTAGAAACATTGATCTGTTGCCTCTCATATGTACCCCAACCTGGGACCCACTCCTCAGCCCAGGCATGAGCCCTAACCAATAATCAAACTGGCAACCTATCACTTTCCAGGAAAATGCCCAACCAAGACACATCAGTCAGGGCTCGAATAGCATTTTTAATGCTAGGATTTTAGTGCTGAAGTAACTCTTCAGACCTGAACTATTAATATTAGATATGTCTCCTAAACTCTAAACCAAGGTTCCTTTGTTCTCAGCAGTTGTAAAACTCAGTCTTGCACAATTCTGTCTATACCTTCCTTTCCTGGCTTTGGTCTACAGGACAGTTCTTAAACCTTGCCTTGTCCTACCACCATCCCTCCTGATAGAGATATAGCCTGGGTTACTAACACATGAGTTCCTATATGATATACCCTGTGAGTCCAAGTTAAATGACTTGAAATTCCCTTCCTCTATAATAATAACAACACTTTACACATACTGAGTTCTAATTTTTTTGTGTTATATACTCCACCAGGTATGTGGTCTATGGATTTCTAGTTGACCCTAATAATGACCACCATTCTCATCATTTACTGAGTACCTAAAATATGTTTGCACTGTAGTAGGTTATAATATACTTAACTTTAATTCATACCAAGTACAAAGTCAAGCATTATTCTCCACATTTTACAGATAAGGAAACTGAAGTTCGGAGGCATTAAATATTTGCAGTGTGGCAAAGTAGACATTTTGACTGACTAGAATAATGCTCTGATAACTTAGGAAAAAATTATAAAAAAGGAAAAAAAGAAATTTAAAATAGTAGAAGCCTTTATTTGCATTTCTATGATCAAAGAGATTTATCACCTTATGAACACACTAGTGACCAATAGTATTTCATTTCTGAAAGTAACAGAATAATAAGACAGATTATCTTGATATATAATGTACTAAACTTTTTTCTTTTTTTCTTTTTTATTGATTATGCTGTTACAGTTATTCTATTCCCCCCTTCATTCCCCTCCACCCTACCCCCCGTCCCCACCATTACCCCCCCTTTAGTTTATGACCATGTATCTCAAGTTCTTTAGATTCTATATTTCCCATGCTATTCTTGCCCCCCCCATCTATTTTCTATCTACTGTCTATGCTACTTATTTTCTGTACCTTCTCCCCCTTCTCCTCCTCCCACTCCCCTGTTGCTAACCCTCCTTGAGATCTTCATCTCTATGTTTCCACTCCCGATCTAGCTGTCCTTTTAGTTTGCTTTTGTTTTAGGTGTGGTTGTTAATAACTGTGAGTTTGTTGTCCTTTCACTTTTCATGTTTTTTTAAGTTCTTTTTCTTAGATAAGTCCCTTTAACATTTCATATAATAAGGGCTTGGTGATGATGAACTCCTTGAATTTGATCTTGTCTGAGAAGCACTTTATCTGTCCTTCCATTCTAAATGAAAGTTTTGCTGGATAGAGCAATCTTGGCTGTAGGTCTTTGGATTTCATGACTTGGAATACCTCTTTCCAGCCCCTTCTTGCCTGTAAGGTCTCTTTTGAGAAATCCACTGACAGTCTGATGGGGACTTCATTTGTCCCACTTAGGTTAAAATGTTGTGTTTTATTCTCTCCCTCCCTATGGACCGACCCCTGTCTCTCCAAGCATGAGCATGGGCTGAAACGCGATGACAGAGGTTGGTGGAGTGTATAAGCAGTACCTTCCATTATGTGGTTCACACCATTACTGTACATTTTCCCTGTCATCCCAGACGTGGAGGTCTTAGGTCTTTACCGAAACTCTGAGAACTGATTTTTATCCCTCAAATTGCAAATACCTGTTGAGTTAATATGGAAATGCAATAGCCTGGCTAAATCCACAGTCCTAGAAACTGTTGAAAATGGAGTTTCCTGTAGCTTGTAAGGTTAATATTATTTGCAGTAAGATGATTTCTCCAAAGATGTGCTTTTGCTGTGGAATAATCTAGATTCATGACAAAATTCTGGGTTCTTTCTACCAATACCCTGTTGTAAATTCATGAATAAAAACACAGATTAAGAAATTAATGTAGGCATGAAACTGAAAGCTCACAATTCCAAAAGCCAGCTTATTTTTTTTATTGTTGTGTGAGAAAAAATTACTCTCAATGGGAACTTAGTTGCCCACTGAATTCTAAAGATTACTGACACTTTGAAGGGATTATTTCTAAAGTAGCTTATTAAAAATTTTTCCAGGAGATTGTTAGAAAAAATCAATAAATTAGAGTTAATACTGATGTAAGTAAAATGGTCATTACTTATTTGAGAAAAACAAATAATAAAAAGCTGATCCATTTCTTTTCTTGTGAGCAAAAGAGGAGAAAAGATTTTCCGAGATTTGCAATGTCATCACAGCGGGGATTCCTTATTTCTAAAGACACCACGTGCACCTGTTCTGTACATCTACTCAAGACAATAGGACAAGTGAGATTTCAGAGCACGATGGAAAAGAAAGATGATGACTTGTATTCATCCTTTTTTTCCTGGTATAAGCAGTAAAGGAAATATTTTATCAAGTCAGAAAACTGAGGGAACTAAAAATTATTACCACCTGGCTGGTGTAGCTCAGTGGATTGAGCACAGGCCTGTGAACCAAAGGGTCCCTGGTTTGATTCCCAGTCCGGGCATGTGCCTGGATTGTGGGCCAGGTCCCTATTAGGGGGCACACAAGAGGCAACCACACACTGATGTTTCTCTAAAAGTAAATTTTTAAAAAAATTTAAAAAATAAAATAAAGATTATTACAAAAGAATAATACTAAATAAAGTTAAACAGAATGACATAATCTTTGTATGAACTATATAAATATTAAATGCATAGTAGTAGACATTTAGAACAATTAATCTTTGAGAACATTTGTAATTTCCTTTATTTTAACTTAATATTTTCCTTCCTAATTTCTTTACTAACATGCAATTTCAAAGCAAAATGTTATATATGCATATGCATGTGTATGTATATAGGCATACATACATTCACAGTACATATCAGAGGTATACAGGAGAGTGTCTAAGAATGAGGGCTTTAGAGACAACCTGGATGTGAATCCCAACAGTGCTCTTTGGTAAGTTTGTCACCTTAAATAAGGGAGGTCACCTCTATTTGTCCAAATGTTTGCTTATGCAAATAGATGAATAATAACATGTTGTAGTTGTAGGGGTAAATGAGTTAATATGCTGGCCTGAACTGAGTACATGGACACTTTGAAGAGTATGGACACTTTTAAGGGAATCCCTTTTCAGATCCTGAACTCCACCTGAGGACCTGTGGCTGAAGAGGGGGTGTCATCAGAGGTGTCCTGCCTGTTTTCACTACTGCTCTTCTCCACATTCTGAAATAAGGAATACCATTTGCCCATCCAGAATCTCGCCAGGCTGTTTTCACTTAATACTTAAATCCTTCACTGTCAGATAAAGTGACTATGAAAAGTGTTG